GGAGAGGAGGAGGGGGTCACAACATCATCCTCTTTTAACGTTGCCGGAAAAATTGGTATCCCAATTAAATTTGGGGTTCTTTATTGATTGTGCTTATAAATGATATTACATTTGTGCGTTGCAACTTTGTTTTTTATCCATTTTGTTGGCGCTCGTGTGAGTTCGTCTGCAATATTTTTTATTATCGTTACCCATGTAACATTTACATTTATGGCATAATCTTCAACCAATTTTCCAAATGCTTGAAGCCTTTGTCAAATTAGCATTTTGCATTGCCCAGCACATTTTACAGGTTTGTCATGATTCAATTCAGAATTTAACCAATTGAATACACTATAAAAATCAATTTTGATATCACTTGGGTTCCATTTCAATACCATATTGACACCTTAAATACATGCATTCAATTCAGCTACTTTGATATGCATTGCATCAGACTTTGGCTGGAGTCACCAAACAAAGCCTACACAGTGTCACGAAATGGTTATCAACCTTAACCTCATGTCCCGAGAAAACTCTTTGGTGGGATGATAGCCCACATAGTAGATCACTTAGATATAAATTTGAAAGTTGAACTATGACGTCCGAGAGAGATATTTTAGTTTTTATTATCTTCAATTCTGGCATATCAAAATTAAAACGAGATGATAGGAATTTGGCATTTTTTCAGTATTTATAGAGCAAAAAGTTAATTTTCCCATATATCTCTATAAGACATATAAACAAAAACATATTTTACAATAAAATTGATCCTTTTTATTCTAAAATGAATGTTTGCTGTTGAAATCAATCACACAATTCAGAAGCTTTGATTCATATTCTGGATGGTTTCTTGCCGTTCGTAACGCTGCCAATGGGAACTGAAGTTGTGATGAAGAGATTCTGTAGCTTGCTCTGAGAAAATGCCAAGACTAGAATTGTGTCTAAGGATGAAATCCTTAGACACAATTCTAGTCTTGGCATTTTCTCAGAGTAAGCTACAGAATCTCTTCATCACAACTTCAGAGTAAGCTACAAAATAAGGTGGAAAAACACTGCATGTGCTTTGGGAGTGACTGAAGTATTTGGCAACTTCAGGTACGACTCCTGAAACTGTAAAATTTTTTGTTCAAAATCGGGGCTCAAGTGATTTCCAAAGCAAGCATTCACCACTGAGTCAAAATGTCTCAATGTTTCAACAAATGGCACAGCAAGAAAAAATGAGCTTTGCTCAGCTAAACTTTGAAGGCGATCAGTGTTTTTCAAGAGCTTGCGGCAGTCATTCCCTGCAAATTGGCCACCATGAAAAGACTGCTCTTGAATATGAAGGGCTGCTGGCCATTCCTTTGCTGCGGGCCAAATCTGGCATAAACTTTTGTAGAGATGGTTAATGACTCCAAGAAGCAGATGAAGTTCCATGGGAGGAATGATGTCCAAAATCAGTGTGTCATCTGGCAGAGTCATTATGGGTTCATGGATGACGTTTTTGAAGTCTTTTGATCTCCTTGCATTGGCACCACTGCTTTGAAACTGCAGAAAGTTTTCTCGAATTGAACCAAGTGTTCTGAGACTTCCAGAGCGACTCAAATCTTTTGATTCTGCATCACACCATGAACAAGGATGTGCACTTGCATGGGACTGAAGACCACAAACAAGATTGGCGACTTTCATGTCACAAGAGATTATGTAGGAAAGTTTGTGAAGTTGAAGAGAAGAAATTATGCTTTTCAAGTTGTCATAACTCTCTGGCAGATCTTCTGAAATTGCCACCTGAAGTTGCCGTTTGACTCCTGCGGCTTTAAGCCCTCGTTTTGGTGGTGGAGAATTTGAATCTGTGTTTCTGGCAAAGATTCCAAGAGATACTTTCAAAAACCCACCACCTCCATCAATGCCAATCTTCATCAGCGGATCTCCTGAAACATTCCTTACTTTGATAACGTGATTTGCAAGACTCCCTACATCTGGGCAAAAAACAAGCAGTCGTGAAGGGTGCTGGTCATCATTCTTTGTAGAATCTCGTATGGCCTTGGTCTCAAAATGCTTAGAAAGAGATTTCCCGAAACTGTCGAATTTTTCTCTGAAATTTTTTTCTACAATCCGGAGAGGTGTAGCTTGGTTTAAAGATGATGCCAATTTGGACATGCCACGATTTGACAATCTAGTTCCAATTTGGACTCCAACCATGTCTTGTGCCGTGAGCTTGGGCACAGCAGGAAACAATTCTCTTGCACTTGATGGTCCTAAAAAACATTTAATGGCCGAGCTTAAAATTTTCTACATTTACATTTTAAAAGAAATTTATAAGTGGTTTATGCTTAAATCTATATTGCTTTACCTGGAACAACGGGAAAACGATTTCCTCCAAGTGGTTGACTTAGCCGAACAGTGCCATGAGGTGATGGAGTTTTATTAGCAATTGTTAATGATGCTACCCTCTCTGCCGCAATGCGATCCCTCGAAGCAACTTCCACTAAATTTTGCCTTAATGTTCCTGTTGTGCAATTGTGAGGCAATCCACGACCAATCACAGAGAAGCAATCAGAGCACCTTTTTTCAATGCTTGAATTTTCTTTGGGTTTCGGTGGTTCCAAAGGATGACGCTGATTCATATTTGTCCTTGCAGTTTGACAAATCAAACAATTACAAGGAATATTTGTTGCAGCACGCTGAACTGAGATGGTGCTGAAATCAAAGAGCCTTGGGATAGGTGCATCCTCCCCTTCTTCTCGTCTGCGAATAGCCACACGACATCTTTCACAAATTCCACAAGGGATTTGAAAATTTGAAAAATCAAGCTCAATTTTGAGGACTGTGCGAATTTTCTCCACTAAAAAACTTGTGATTTCTTGATTTGCTTTCTTCAAACATAGGAAACAAACACATTTTCGGTTTTCTTCATGAGTTTTAGCTTTGTTAGGCATTTTATCAAACATTCAAAGTGTCTTATTTGAAAAAAACTTAATGTGCACCCTTTTCCCGGAGTTAGCAAAATTGAAAAACAAACAAAAAATAATAATGATTTCAAAAAACCTGCTCCAATTAGTTATATAATGTCTTAAATAGTACTCTATCAAAAATGCTGTAAAAATGCCAAATTCCTATCATCTCATTTAATTTTGATATGCCAGAATTGAAGAAAATAAAAACTAAAATATCTCTCTCTGACGTCATAGTTCGATTTCCAAATTTATATCCAAGTGATCTACTATATGTGGGCCATCATCCCACCAAAGGGTTTTTCTCGGGACATGAGGTTAAGGTTGATGGCCATTTCGTGACACTGTGCCTATCCACTTCGCGAAACTCCTGTTAATTGATCAAAAATGCATTCTGGGATGTCCTGCCGGACCTCTTCTGCAACAAAAACAAAAAGGTTTTTTTTAATTAATAAACTTTGTTGCTAAATCTCTTATTTTCTTGTCACCAAACAAAGCCTACACAGTGTCACGAAATGGTCATCAACCTTAACCTCAATTTTGTATTCAAGATATCTCAATTTTGTAACATTAAGATGAAAAAACGTTTTGTAGAACAAAAAAAGTTTTGTAGAACATAAAGTTGGTGTAATTTTTTTAGAGCATAAAAGTATATTATTATACATAAAAGTTATTACCATTATACATTAATTAAAGTATTAATATTATAAATTATAACATTACAAAGTCTTATTACAAAGAATTAAATTGAAAAAATAATATTATAATATACCAAATGATAATACATACAATTTTTTTGAAATTTTTTCGCTGGAACTGAATGATGTCAACTGGTGGTTTCCTTTTAGAATCAAGAAGTGGATGAGGATTTGGGATGTTAAAAATAGTAGGAATTGCTGATTGTAACAAACGTTTTCCACCATTATTTGTAGAATAATACATTGTACTTTAAAAATGATTACTGCACAAATAAAAGTTTTTGTTTAAAAATACAAAATCTTTTTTTTCTAAATCTTTCCTAAGATGATATCCTACTGCTTACATCTAAAAATTAAACAATAAAAGAATGTTTTAATATACTACAATAATATATTTTAAAATACTTCAATAATATGCTTTAAAATACTATAATAATAATTTTATAAACTTTTAATGAAAAAAAAGTTATTATAAATAATATATGAATTAGCTTGCCTTTTATCATCTTTAGGAAAATGAAAAAATGAAATACCTTAACAGTTTTAACACAGTTTATAGCAGCACAAAATGATGGCATTGTTATAACTAAGATCAAAATTTTTTAAGGTACATACAAAAATAACTATTCGCTACTTTTTTTTTATTACTGTTACTTCCAATCCTAGTGCATGAACTGGATTTTTGCAAAATCATCAATAGTCAGGGTAGGCAAAAACCCAGGTTTTGACCAAAAACCCAACCCAGCTGGGTTTTTGGGTGGGTTTTTGCTAAAGTTTGGTATAAATCTTTAGTAATCAAAGTTTGATTAATTTATAGTTTATAATATAATAAAGCTATTTTTCATTTTTTACAGGTATATTTTCTTATACAAAAGCTTTATTAATAATCAGATTGCATTTTTTTATAATATAAATCTATTTTTAAATAGAGTTATCTTTTTAGTTAAATTTAAAATATAAGTAGATTATACGTCTTCAACATGCCAAAGTATCATTCAGGGGGAAGAAATAAGGCTAGTGAGTGGAATGAAGTGACCATATTAAGTGATCAACCAAATAGAGTAATATGTAATTATTGCAAAGTGAGCATAATTAAAAAAATAGAAAGAGTTAAGATCCATTTGGATAAATGCAGAAGAAAGAATAAACGAAGCAATAATAATTCCGCTGAAGTGTTAAGTGATATATCAGTTTTAGAGTCAAGGTCATCTACATCTGCAGCATCAAATAAGTCTAGCCTGTCTGATGATAATGAGCAAGATGGTTTAAGCTTTATTAGTGATTCTTTTTATTTGTCAATTGTTCAGTCAACTGCAATGACGATGCAACAGCAAACATCTATTTCTAAATTTGTTACTACAACAACAAGAAATTAGAAGGATGAACTGGATTTACAAGTTGCAAGATTTTTCTTTTCAGCAAATATACCATTCAACGTAGTAGAAAATCTTAAATTTACCAAGCTGCTTAAAAAACTTAGACCTGGATATGAGCCACCAAATAGAAAACAGATATCTTCAGAACTCTTAGTAAAGATAAATGAAGAAGTAATCAATTTAATGAAAAATGATCTTGCTGATGATAGTGCTGTTGCCCTAATTTAAGATGGTTGGAGTACATTCAGTAATGATCCTATAATTGCTCATAGCATCCATAGTAAAAATAAACCTTATCTCATTTCTGCAATTGACACTAGAAGCCAATCAAAAACAGCAGAATATTGCGCTCAAGCTGCTAAGGATGCAATTAAAATTGCTAAAGAAACGTTCAATAAAGATGTAAGTGTTAGATGTTTAACTGCTTTATTTAATGTATATATATATACTATATACATATACATTTATATATATATATATATATATATATATATATATATATATATATATATATATATATATATATATATATATATATATATATATATATATATATATATATATATATATATATATATATATATATATATATATATATATATATATATATATATATATATATATATATATATATATATATAAGGCCTCAACGGAAGAACGATTTTAATAAAATGATTTTTGGGGTGATTTTAATTCGTTGAACTACATGATGGTGTTTTAAATCTTAAAAATTGATTTTCTCAAAACATCAAAAGTGTGACTCTGATCGTTCTTCCGTTGAGGCCTTCATATATATACACATATGTTTCATTTTTTATTTAGGTATTTGCAGTATGCACTGACAACGAAAATAAAATGTCTAAAATGAGAAAACTTTTGCAGGCTGAAGCCCCTAAGTTGATAACATTTGGTTGCTCTGCTCATTTTTTAAATTTGGTTGAAAAGGATGTCTCTCCAAAGTCTATAGTAAAGCATATTATAGCAATTCATAAATATTTTCGTAATCATCACCAACCACATGTATGTATTAAATTCTTTACTTATTGATCATATTCTGTAATACAATACTATGAAATAACACAGCTGTGTTAATGATATAAGCCTAATGATAATGATGGCAAAAGAGATCCTAGCTTTATTTTAACAAAATTATTTTTTAATATTTCTTTGTTAAATTTTCTTAAATAAATTTATTATAGGGTTGGTTATTGGAAAAAGGTGGACTGATGCCACAGCTACCTAATGATACTCGCTGGAACTCCCAACTAGATTGTTTACAGACATACATATCTAATCATTCTCTGTACGTTGACATTAGAGTTGAGCATATGGAATCCTTCGATAGGAAGCCTAATTGACAATCTATCAATACAAAGAGAAGCAATAAATTTATATGCACAACTGAAAATTTTGGTGTTGCGTAAGATAAGGTTAATAAAATTAGTTATTAATTAGATTTATTAAATTTAATTATATTAAGTATATTAAAACCACTTATATTAGGAACAATGTCACCATTAACTTTATTTACCTAATTATTAGCAAAATTATTGTGTTTACTGTAGTTGCAAGCAGACGATACAACTTTGTCTGAAGCAGTTGAGATTTGGCAAAGCCTCATACATAATGAAAAATTGGCTTTGTACAAAGATGATATTTTAAAGAGGTTCAAGAAGGCAATTGTTCCATGTTATTTTCTTGCCAATTTAACAGATCCAAAATATGAAGGTAACTAAACAATTGTAAAAAACTTAAAGTATTGCATCTGATTAATTTTTAATAAAAACAAATGTAAAGTTTTTATTCAAGTTTACTACTCTTATAACTTTACTTATTTACTTTGGAAGAACATAGGATAGAAGTCAAGAAGAAGAAGCTGAGGAATGGTTGAATGAAGTCTATCCTGAATTTATGCCAGGCTATTATGTGTTTAAACTAAAAGATGCTAATTGTTTCCCAACATATTTATTCAACAATAGTGTTAAAAGCACAACATCAGCAACAAATTGGTGGAGAATTATAGAAATGAAAGAATCTAAGTCTTCCAAATTGCCTGCAAATTTTGCAAAATTTTTATGGCAGTTGCACACTTGTCCAGCTAGTACTGGATTCATAGAAAGATTTTTCTCATCTTTTGGGATTATTTGGAGCAAAATTAGAAATCGTTTAGGAAGAGAAAAAGCTGAAATGCTTGTACGAATTTACAGACATTTAAGATCAAGATGCACAATTGCTGATGACTTTTAGATTACTTTGTTTTAAATGATTAAGCTTGAATATTATTGCTCCAAGTAAAATAAAATTCTTGTTTATGACTTACTAAACTTCATTTTTTGTTGTTAGTTGAGCAGCATCAAATCTTGTGTGTTAATGTAAATTGATTTATGAACAAAAAAATTAAAAATTTAAGACCAAAAACCCATAAAGTTGGGTTTTTGGGTGGGTTTTTGAGTTTGGGTTTTTGGGTACCAACCCTGATCCTAGTGCATGAACTGGATTTTTGCAAAATATTATGTTTTACGTAAAAGCCCCATTTCTTCAAATGCGCCACCAGCTTTCTTCCATTTCCATTGGTTGCTAAGGTGTTATCAATGTATCCTCTTGTTGATTTAGCAAGTGAAAAATTTTGTTGGCAAACGTATTGTAGTATTGAGCTCATCATCACAGGTGCTAGGTTCAAACCTAAACCCAAAAATGTAAGTGCAGATTGTTTGAGGTATGCTCTTTTTAAATAAACCACTAAGTTGTTGCTATTTTTACTCATGAGCCTCCAATCCCTCATTGAATTGGTAATGACATCTGCATCCCTTGTAGATACTTTTACATAGGTGTTAAGTTTGCATTAATCAAGCACCAGTCTTATTTTCTTTTTATTATCTTGAAGACACACATAAACGGTAGTAATCCTTTAACTTTACCCATAAATTTGTCGTCATATTTCATAAGTATGTCTTCTTATTTCCAACGTTTCCAGTTTCGCTACTAAATCTGTTTGAAACATCTGGCACTTCAGGTGCTGTTAATTCTTATATGGTCTTGTAAATTTTCAACGACAGAGCAGCAAGCAAGTACGCTATGAATGAATATTGTTTACCATGAAGAAAGAAGTCATCTGCCAAATAAATCGCTTTAGCTGTTCATCTTCATATTGCAGAGATAATAGACATGGATAGTTGGCTTGTTGTTCAACACATTTAAAAGCCATTTTGTTTCTCAGTTTTTAAATACTTATCAACAACCTCAACATTTTAACAACAAAATTGTTTGCTATATATAACATTAAAAAAAACAACTTGTGACTCTTGTCAACAATTACTGATCATTATACAAAACATTATTATAATAAAAATATGCAACGTGTGACTTTTGTCAGTAATTAGCAAAGTTAATTGACAAAATCACAACTAAAAGCTTGTTGGGATATTTGATAGTAAATTTTATTAACAATAAGTAAGCAACTATGATGTAATAAGCTTTTTTTTTATAAAGTTTATGTTATTATTTACAAAAAAAATCCAAATATATGTAGGTAGTTAGCTCAAGGCCACAAGCAAAACACAGTAAATTCAAATCGCTACTACTTATTCACAGTAAGAAAATGGGCAGCTGTCAAGCAAAAAAAAAATACTGTCAAAATTTACTAGACACTCCAGTCTTAAATTTGGCTTTGTTTTTAGGTATTGCAAACAAGTTTACAACATTAAATGCATATTAGTAAGTGTATACAAGTTTACAACATGTTCTCTCATTTAATGAGACAGATTTTTAAATATGCACTTTACAAGCCATATAGATAAGAATCAAAATCATTCTTATCTATCTTATCTACAAGTTTTTTTAAAAAATTATAATTTAAAAATATGTTAAATCAATACTAGTTTACAACATTTATATTGTCTTGCCAATTTTGAATAACTTAGATGGCATGAAAATGTTTTTTATGTTTTTTTTTATGTTCAAAATTGTCTGAGCAACCCTTGAATTTTAAAACAGCTATTTTTGTTTAAAAAACTTACGTATGATACCTCAGTAATTATTATAGAAACACTAAAAAAAAAATTATATTTTATTAATTTATTGAACATATAATTTTAAAACGTAAGAAACAACTTATACTTATATATATATATATATATATATATATATATATATATATATATATATATATATATATATATATATATATATATATACAATTTTCAATTGTTTAACGCTTAGTTGTTAGGAATATGATTAAGTGTTGAATTTTATACATAATAATTACAGTTAATAGAAATGAGAAAAGGTAATAAAAAATGAGAGCCGTGTTAAAATCATCTTTTTAATAATTACTAACTATACCTTACTTTTTAATACTAATTTAATAGAATAATAAAGCTGATTTTATTTTAGACAACTATAACATAAACAGTTGGTGATCAAAATTTTAGCATGCAACAAAAGTAGGTAGCAATTATATATGCATATTTTCCGTCTGTTGTAAGTCAAAAACCTTCTAGGTCTGCAGTATAAATAATTTTAATAATCTATTTTTGGTGCATGCTAAAGATTGCTAATGTTGTACTAAAATTTCTAATCACATGAACTGACTTTTATTAATGAGTTAAGTAGACAACATTTTGATCAATATAACATATTTTGTTTTAGTTATGTATGCATACTATCTATGAAAGATTTTAATTCTATATAGATATAATCAATATAGAATAAAATTTATAACTAATATTCATACAGCCTATCTTATATCAATATTATAGAATATAACAGTATAAATAGAACAAAAATGTATAAATGATAAACATTCATTTCTTCTTATTATTATCAATATTATGAATATGATTATAGATATATTTATTATAAATGTGATGTCATTATAAATTACAATGACATCACAAATATAAGATAGATCTTATATTTGTGATGTCATTATAATTTAAAAATTTAAAATTTAAAAATTTAAAAAGTTATAGATTTAAAAAGTTGAAGATCTATAACTTTTTATAAATCTTAATGTAAATGTAAACATGGACTTCTATAACCTTATATAAGGTTATAGAATCTTATATTTTTATATTTACCTCAAAATATATTATAGTATATTACCTTATATATATTACCTTATAATATATAATCGCTTATAATTAATACTTAACTTAACGCTGCTGCTCACCATTCGTGCACCTTTTACGGATTTTTTTACCATACTTGGCCTTTGAGTTTTATCATAAATTGCTTTACTTCTGAACTCGCCTAATGGGGCTCTTTCAAATCTTAATAATCTGTCAGTATCTGCTTAATCAGTAATGAGATCAAAAACTTTGTTTCATCAGCTTAATTAGTGATAAGATCAACAATTTTTATTTGATAACTTCTGTAGTAAAGTATGAACATTATGTTATTATTGAATTAGTAAAGTAACTTTTAAAGTCAGGTGATTTATTTAAATCATGCATTTTAGTCTTTTGTCAATTGTATTTAAATTTATTAATTTATAAAATTAATCTCTAATTTTTAAATTAAAAGACGACTCAAGAAGACGTTGCTCATTTCAAAGGTCAAGAGGTCAAACTCTTGATAAAGTTAGTGTTTAAAACACTTGTATCTCACACGGTCAACTCAATGTTACATGTTAAAGAACAAGATCGTTTAATACCTTATTTAAAAGAAGTTATAAAAATCCGTATAAAAAACCAGATTTTTTGATAGTTTGTTTTTGAAAGTTGTTAAACATTTATTACGAGGTATTTCAAAAAACAAAAATAAGGTTGTATTTGTAAAGTTTCAAATTTATATATTTTTCTTAATTTATATATTTATCTATATATGTGTGTTATTTATATTGTGTTTTATTGTGTATATATGTGTTAAGGTTATATGGGTTTATATTTTGTAAGTGTGTAAATATATGAAATGTTTCAATGTTTGTGGTGTGTTATATGTAATATGTTTATAGTTTGTAAGTGATAATTATGTTGTTTGCATGGTTTCAAATTGTTGTGACTGGGCTTAGTTTACAGCAAGATTGTTGACCTCGCTAGCCAAGTGGTGTACTTTGCTATAATGTGACCTGGCTTTGTTGAGAGCAAAAATATTGTCCTCGCCAGCAGAGTGGTGTATTGTCATAATAAAACACATACATTAATTCTGTTTGTAATTAGTGTATTTCTAAAATGTGTTGAAAAAATATTGTTTAAAAAATGTGTTTTAATGTTGTTATCCTCTGTTCTTAACAATGTATGCTTTTGACAATAAATAAATTTTGTTAAAAAGCAGGCTTTACTAACAGCTCCTCCTCATTAAAATTTTTAAGAGTTTTGATTTTCTTC